CCCGGCGCACCGCCGCCCCGCCGCGCCCGCCTCCACGCCACACTTGAAAGCGCGCGCCGGGCCCGCCGAGGGTTCGCATTTGCGCGTCTGCGGGGAATTGCCTTGATTGCGGCCGATTTTAAAATACAAATTCGGTTTAAAAATTGCTGATCTTACCCCGGGGCGGGCAACGAAACAGCTAAGCGATACGCGAGGGCGCCGGAGAGGCGGCAGAGGCGGAGGTGGTGCTCAAGGGGACCAATTACTGGGCCTGCGCTCCGCCCGACTTCTCCGCGCCGATGTTCGCACCGCGCCCCCTTGCAGAGCGGAAACTACGCGCGTTCCCCGACGGATCCAGCTGCTGCTGCCGCACGCTCGAACCGTGTTCTAAACAATCGACTTACACCCACTCCTCTTTACAACTGCTCTCACCGGTAACGTCAACTACATTGTTTAATCTACAACTTCTGAACAATGATTATCTTCGGCCTAGAAAGTCGATGTCGTTAAGGCTTCCTCGTGGCTGAGGGGTCGCGGGTTCGAATCCTGCCCCCTTCATAGATGAAAAGCGATCTTAAATAACTAAAAAAATATTTATCGAGATACTCTTCCTTCCTCCTTAGTTACCCGCTCACGCAAATACACGTCCCGCTGTGATGCCGTCACAAGCGCTGTTTGTGTGTGTTCATTATAGGCCCAACTCAATGCAACAATAGCACGTACGAGTAGAAACGATTGCTATCTGATCTCTCACGGCCGACATCGGTAGCTCTCTTCACCAACGTCGTCTCATCTCGGGGACGGGCGTCGCTGCTGAGGCTTGCACACGCCACCGTGGCCGCCGCGTGGTCGATTCGCCGAGGCGGCGGTCGTTGCGTCTTAGATTATGTCCGATGAGTGAAATCCCATGGGAATAGGCCACTTTGCCCGGGGTCCTTTCAAGTTGTGTTCTTGTGTCGCGCCGCCCCCGGGGAGACGAGTACGATCGACTCGGTGGTGGCGCCGGGCCCGGGCGGGGCGGGGTGAGCAGCGGCGGCGGCGGCGGCGGCGACGCGGGGCGGGGCGGGTCAGCTGAGAGTTCGCTCTCCGGAGGCTGGCCGTGCTGCTGCCGCCGCCGCCGTCCGAGCGGCCTCCCCATGGCATCGTCCGAAAGTCCACCCTCCTGGGCCTCGCGGCTACTCATGCTCCTGGCCGCTTGTACACTTCCGGTTCCGCGAAACGCGTTCAACTCTGCTTTTGTTCAGATTCTAAGCAGAGATTCAAAAAACTTATAACGCAAACATATTTCTATAGCCATTTGTGCCAGAACCTTTTGCCACTTTCCCTCATTCTCTGTTCCATATATTACATTTTCGCCTGGGATTGTATGTGTATTTTATGCTATGCTTGTCATACGATTTCATAAGCATTATCGAGTCTCGTCCCTTATGATGCTGTATTTTCATGATCATAATTTTCAGAATCATTTATGACTTATTAATTCTTCAATACTAGTTTGTCAATATTGACTGTTGTTTACATTAGGCGCCGCTAACTGTTTCCAAAATATAGCGTCTTCCCCATCTTTGCTTTTCACGAATCCGTGAATGTAAAGTAATGACTCAAAGTATAATACGAAAGGAATAAATAAAGCAATAACTTTGTATGTGTAGAGAATTAATATACTAGTAATAATATTCTGTTATATTCAGGAGGGATTTCTTGTTCAAGCGTGTAGTTTTAACAGAATTTTGAAGAACATAATTTTGCCTTTCGTATTTATAACAGGTATTATTTATGAGGATTTTGAAAGCGTTGTCTAGATATAAACAGCATATTATTGCTGTCTACAAATTTAAAATGAAATAATAATTTATATTCATTTATAGCGATAATGAAGTTCCAAATATTTAATTGACATTCCAACTACCTTTATCTGTTACTGAGATTAGTATAGAAGATTAGTGCACATTCAACAGAATGATTTCCCGTCTTATACCGTATAACCATGTATGGTCATTAATATGCCTTCACGTGGCAAGGGCAATTCTAAATGTGAGATAACATACAGTTTTTACGAAGAATAATTTACTAACAATATCTTTTCCTAAACAAATGCAAGAAATCATGTTATTGTACTTTTTAACTGATTAGTTGCGTGAAATATTGAAATTTCGCTTCGGAAAACACCTTACAGCTTGTTCATTCTGTCAAGAAGTTCCTTTTAACTTGTAAAGTAATAAATAATTTATACGTGTAGATGGTTAATTTTTATTTATTCATGAAAATTATTTTAAGAAAATCCCCCGGGGATGTATATGTAGTATGTCCCGTTATAATGATGTAACATTTCAATGGATTATGCAAGAAAAAAGTTCGCTTTTCAGCAAGTTTTCGTGCTTAAGTGTAAGATCACATCTTAGACGTCACCGCGATTAGATGACAGATCTGCAGTCTTCCATTCCGCATTAAACACGGACCGTAAACATCAATAACCAAGGTAGATGTGGCGTGGTGCTCTGGGAACCCACAATGCCGCGAGCGAGCCTTTTCCCTGTACCGAATCACCTCCGCCTTGGATCGTTCATTCAACGTGCGTGGACGTCGGGTATTCACACCCTGACAGGGAGGGTCGTTCGCCAGCTTATGACAGTGAAAAGACTTTCCGAAAATGCTGTAGATTTCTTACATGGTACAAACAAACTTATTGTCTATTATCAACCTCGTCCCAAATTACAATCGTGTAAAATCATGCCATAGAAGAAAATTGAGAAAGTACATTTATTTAAAAGCTAGTCAATTTATACTTTTAGTTTAGAGCTGATACAAACTTGCATAACAATACTATGCAATAATAACAAAGTATTGTCGAATTCTAACATAGTTCTCAAATAAGTTAAAGAACAATTAATGGTTAATTCGAATATTATGTGCTGTTATTCCAAGATGTTTCATTTCCTCCTTGACCAATACACAGTAGATTACCGACACCTGATATTACGATAGATCTGTCTCATCAGATCTGCACTCTTCCAATCCGCATTAAACACGCACCGTAAACGTCAACAACCAAGGCAGATGTCGAGAGTGGCTCCGCGAACCCACAATGCCGCGAGGGCACCTTCCCCCAGGACCGAATCACCTCCGGCTTGGATCGTTCATTCAAGCTGCGCGGGCGTGGGGCGGAGGGTCGTCCGTCAGTGGCCTCCCGCGGCGACCTACCGCCATGTGCGGCCGCGCCGGCAGACGCGCCGTGACGCCACGTGCCAACAATACGCGCGCGATTCGCGACCGCCCCGACCGGTTTCGCGGTGGCTCCCCGCGGCGCTGGGCAGCGCCCCGCGGCGCCCCGCGGCGTCCCGCACCCGACGCGCCGTCTCGCTTGGCGGCGCCCCCGCCCCCTGCTGCCATCCACCGCCCCGCCGGCAAGTGCAGATGTCAGGACGAGCGGACACATGTTGCCGCGCCCTCCGCGCGCTGCAAGTGGCTTCTTGAGCCCTGCAGAGTGGGCCCCAGCCGCCCGAGCGGTCGCCCTATTCCGTATTCAATTAAACAAGAATCTATCAGCTGTTTTTCCTAAAGCGTCTTAATCCGGGCCGGATACGTTCTTCAAATCCGGCCGATCAAGGCGGCGCTGGCGGCGGAGGGGGGCCGCGTGCGGGGGATTTCCGGCGCCCCTTCGCAGTGCCCCCTCGGCCCCGCCCCCGGCTGCGCCCCGCGCGTGTAATGTCCGCGGGGGACCCAGGAGGACGGAGGCGGCGTTGTCAAGTGGCCGGGCGATGACCGAGGTGGCAGGCACAGTGGGAATGGTGTCGGTAGACGTGAGTGTGCCACTAGCGATACTGATAGTGCTTAATACAATAGGTTGCAACAGGATGAGTCAGCTGTCGTTTCGGTTGTCATGGACAAAATGACATTATAGCAGAGATATAGATATCGGTCATGATGGAAAGTGACAAAGCATTGCTGTTTTGAAATAGATGCACGTAAATAGGGACGAGATACAGCGTTTGGTAGCGGATGATATCACTAAGATGAAAAATTGCAGAAAATATTAGGTGGCAACGGCGTTTTTATCTTTTGAAACTTTATATGAATGGATAATTACTATTTAAAAAGTGGAAATTTTGCTGTGGAAATCAGAGAAGGTGGTACGGGAAGTGCATAAAGACGGAAGTAAGATGACATGCAATTCGTACAGAGCGCAAGGGTAGGCAAAATAGAAACAAGATGAATGTGAAGAAAGGATGGACGAGAGGGAGGCGAAAGGTGCCCCAGCAAAAATGTGCAGCAGGAAGACGAGCACAAACAAGAGATATAGGAATCAGGTGACATACATGACATGGGCGACTAGAAAGTAACTGAGAGAACCGCAAGATCA